GCATCCAGAGCTTACTGGGAGACAAGTGGGAGACAAGTGGGAGACAAGGGTGAAATCATGCGGCCAGGAACACAAGCCCGGAGACAAACTCAAAATCATCCGGCCCGAGCATGCACCCCTTTAAAAGGAGTAAGAACCCCTCACAGGTAAACCTGTTTGGGGAATAAAATTCAACAATTGCTCCAGAGATGAGGGCACAAAGAACGCGAAAGCAGAAGGACAAGAAAGATGCCATTGGGTCCTGCACAAGCTCAGAGGATAGGAAGGTTAAGGTGTTGCTGTAAGCAAGAAAAGTTCCGTCCTGCTTCTTATCTGCAAAGTCCGCCAAATGCCTAGGCTCAGTCATTTGTACATTCACAAGGAAGTCCATCTGCTTCCCAGTTGCCCAGAGCCTTGAGCATTACAGTAATACATTCAACACAGGCAAATGCCCCACCCTCCCACCATTAAACTCTCCCGTTTACATCAAAATGTGCACAAGTGCATTGCTGCTCCAAAGGATGAGGATATTTCCCCTGGTCTTTTCTGGCATCAGTAGCCTAGCTGCTTGGCTCATCCTTGGGTTCATTGCATGATTGCATGAAGCGTGTTCAACAACTGCCTTTTTACCATCCAGCTTCCGGGTGTGGAAAAACATCCCCTGATACTTCGCCATCCCAGTCGGCCTTACAATATGAAGCCACAATGTGCTCCCACCCTGAGATTGCGCAGTGGCGGAGCTACGCACAATCTCCCGGAAGCCATCCTGGCAGAAGGCTATTGACTAATAAGCCACAAGCGGAAACTTGTTCGGCAAAGGCAAGTTCTGGATGTTTTTCTCGTCCTCTATGACCGCGAAGAAGTCTGAGCAAATGTTCTCATCATCGTTTGTGGCCTTGGGACAACGATACCAACGTTCAACTATTGCCCTTTCGGTCACGCACCGCATAATGGTGTTCATATCCATTTTGATGCTTCGGCTGAGAGCCTAACATGCACCTCGAAGCCCAACTTCTCCAGCTCATCCTGCAAAAGTCAAGCTTATTGCTGATGGTCTTTTCCACTTGATGGTCTAACTTCTCAAAGCAAAAGAATGGATTTGGATTAAGTCCACATGGCCAATGGTCTTATAAATCATACCTTCGCAATACAATGTTACAAGGTCAATACCTGCACTTTGTCCTCTACCTCAAGAATGAAGAACGACCGGTTCCCACCTTGTCCCCCTGCATGCAAGCGAAGTGCATTTGGTAGTTTGGACGCCCCAAAAACCATTGGCCTGGCCGAGCGCCTCGAGCTATGACTGACATCTTACAATTGCACCCATTCCAGCTCAGCCGACTCAACAATTACAACCATTCGTCTCTACTACTTATCTTCTCGGTATCCACGAAACCTCAAGCACCAGAAAGACGGGCTTCAACCCTTGAAGTAACAGGTAACTTGGCTGCCAAGCAACATGCATGACGTGTAGCCCGGCTCTCCAGTCATTGTGTCCAAGGACATTGTCCACTCTATAAAGGTTGACTGGAGATCCTGCCTATTCGTCGCAAGTGTACAATGTGGCCCTGGCACAAAGTATCAAAACACCTCTAAGTCCAAGCAAGCAAGCAAGCAAGCAAGCAAGCAAGCAAGCAAGCACTAACTCAACACCTCTCACTCTCTTTGTGATCACCGAGCAAAATCAAACTAAACTGGCCTCTTGCTGCTGAGACAGAGACATCATGTTTTTGAAGGTCTTGTATAGTCTTTTGAAATTGTTGATGTCTATCTTGTCCATGCTCGAAAAGCAACAAAGCCCGTGCCTTCCAGGGGATAGACAAGAAAAGGACACGGCCCTTTACCCGGCTTGGTTTTAGCCAAAAAGGCGCACCTTGGATTCCACACTGGTTGAACCTTCGCTCTCCTTCCGGGCTTTGAATGGTTTGATTCTCAACTCCTTAGTTTCCTGCCATCTTTGTAGGGTACGACCAAGTCCCGTCCCTGTCAGCAATCCAGGCAGCGATGCAGCTGTTCACCCGAGCAAATATCTTCATCCAATCCAACTAGTTTTCTCTCACTCAAAAGTACAACAAACCCATTGCCGTTGCAAGCTCTATTTGGCCGCCTTCAGTTTGAGGCTGACCCAGCCAGTAGTTGGCCCATCGCCACAAACAAGGTCAAAGCAGAGTCGCTCACCTTTTAGCTCCTGTGGAACATACATTCTGATGATTCGGAATCAAAGATAGGTGGCATACCTTGCTTGTTCCAATGCTTCTTATCTGGACTCTCCGCCGCAAAATTGATAGAAAGTTCTCACATTCCCGCTCGATGGAAGTTTGAGAAATCCAGGGAACCTGTCTGTGTCAACGCTGCCAACCAATAAAACGGGGTCATTAAGTGTAAACACATCAACAGGGTTCCATGCTCCTTCAAGACTTTGGGGAAGTGCTTGGGGCCAAGCTGAAGCACAGCACCAAAACAATTGTTCCAAAGGGCTTGGGACAGCCTCTCCTTCTGGCGAATGATTGCACCAGTCGAGAGGCGCTGGGGCAGTTCTGCTGAACCAAGTTTCTCGCCTTTCAAAAGATCTAAGATACCGAGCAGTGCTGAAGATGTCGTTGATGCCTCCAACCTCTAGCTATGGCCTCCAATCTAGCAGCGATGGCCTCCAACCTACTAGAGATCGGTCAACCCTTTGGACCAGGGGCACTGGGCCTTCCCGTACCAGAATGCCCCCTCCAGTAGCACCGCCAACCACCTCAGTTGTCGCTAGCATTCTCGACCAGCCAAATTTTTCTCCAACTTTCAAACAATTGAAGCTGAAAAAAGCGTTAAGTTTCCCTAAAAATCTAGGAACCAACTCATTAGTGCGAGCGCTTCTTCAAGCAAGCTTCCTTGAAGAAGTTCGAGCTATCCTGCGTCCATACTAGCACCTTAAGTAGCTACTAGCGGCCTACCCCCAACTAGACGACGAGTGGCCCGAAAGCAGTTTTCGTCACGTGTGAAGTTAGAGTGTGAGTTGTGTGTTTAAGTGAGTGTTCAGGGTGAAGTGTTAAGTCTAGTGTGTTGAGGCAGTGTGTGGGTCTCTGTGTGTATCTGTGTCTCCGCGTCCTACAGGGTTGCGCGCACATGGGACAAATCGCACTCTCGCCTGCATTTCGAGCACTCGACACGCACGATCTCCGCAGAGGGTCACGCGCGCCAGTTCTCAGCTTCCAGTTCCACGGCTTGCTCCGCGTACTAAAGTTGTACTACAAAGTCGCCAGTTCTCATCTTCCAGCTCCCCACATACTCCGCGTACTAAAGTTGTACTACAAAGTCGCCAGTTCTCATCTTCCAGCTCCCCAGATGCTCCGCGTACTAAAGTTGCACTACCAAGTCGCCAGTTCTCATCTTCCAGCTCCCCAGATACTCCGCGTACTAAAGTTGTACTACCAAGTCGCCAGTTCTCGTCTTCCAGCTCCCCAGATGCTCTGCGTACTAAAGTTGTACTACAAAGTCGCCAGTTCTCATCTTCCAGCTCCCCAGATGCTCCGCGTACTAAAGTTGTACTACAAAGTCCCCAGTTCTCATCTTCCAGCTTCCCACATACTCCGCGTACTAAAGTTGTACTACCAAGTCGCCAGTTCTCATCTTCCAGCTCCCCAGATGCTTGGCGTACTAAAGTTGTACTACAAAGTCGCCAGTTCTCATCTTCCAGCTCCCCAGATACTCCGCGTACTAAAGTTGTACTACAAAGTCGCCAGTCCTCAGCTTCCAGCTCCACAGATTGCTCCGCATACTAAAGTTGTACTTGCAAGTCGCCGGTTCTCATCGTCCAGCTCCCCAGATACGCGCACGCATGCGACAAATCGCACTTTCGCCTGCACTTCGCGCACTCGACACGCACGATCTCCGAAGAGGGTTGCGCCAGAACCGGACAAGTCGCACTCTCGCCTGCACTTTGCGCGTTCGACACGCACGATCTCCGCAGAGGGTTGCGCGGGCACCGGACAAATCGCACTCTCGCCTACACTTCGCGCGCTCGACATGCACGATCTCCGCAGTGGGTTGCGCGGGCACCGGACAAATCGCGCTCTCGCCTGCGTTTCGCGCAATCGACACGCACGATCTCCGCAGAGGGTTGCGCGCGCATGTGGCAAATCGCACTCTCGCCTGCGTTTCGCGCAATCGACACGCACGATCTCCGCAGAGGGTTGCGCACGCATGTGACAAATCGCACTCTCGCCTGCGTTTCGCGCAATCGACACGCACGATCTCCGCAGAGGGTTGCGCGCGCATGTGACAAATCGCACTCTCGCCTGCATTTCGCGCACTCGACACGCACGATCTCCGCAGAGGGTCGCATTTTCGGTTGACGCTGTTCGTCCCACCGTCCGCCTTTAAACACAATTTGTAAAGTGGGGAATGTTTTTCATATTGGGATATCTCCCGTGAAAGTTTTCATACTCACACTTGCATACTTACACTGGGATACTCACTACTCTCACTTGCATACTTACACTGGGATGCTTACACTTGCATACTTGCACTTGGATGCTTTCACTCTTACACTGGGATACTTACACTTGCATACTTTCACTTGCAAACTTTCACTTGGATACTTATGTGCCATTGTAAGTATAGAAGTGTAAGTGTTCAAGTGTAAGTATAGCAGTGTACGTGTTCAAGTGATTGTCCGGAAGAACCCTTCGCAATGCTTTCGGGAAAAATATTCAAAAAAAAATAGAAGACTTGGATGCAAACCTCCCAGAGCTGTCCCATCAGACCAAGTCAGGGTCTGTAAGGTCCGTCTGCATGTTGAGAAGTCAGCACAGTGACACATTGAGGAGTCTACATCATTGACTTTCCCCAGCTCAGCAAGTTCATATGAGCATTGCGACTTGGTTCCTACTGTCTTGCTTGCAGCTCGCAGTTTCCATGTATGGATCTTCAAGTTGACTTGATCAAAAGCTAGCAAAGGGTTGAGCATTTGAATCAACAGTGAACAAGCTGCGGCAGCAGTCAATCAAAAAGGACCAGTGCAAAAATACATTCTTAGACTAAAGCCTGCCCAACAAGTCTTGCAAACAGAGTTGAAGCTTGAGTTCATTGCTAGTAATAGGAATAACAAGAGTACTGTAATATATAGTACATATATATATATATACATATCAAACGAGTCTCAGTAAAATATGGCACAAGCACCGCCAAGTACTCAAGCCTGGAAAAAGGAATGTGACTATAATTGAATCAACAATGGAGTAAAGCCGGAGTGCACCCGCATACCAGTGCGCATCCAATCCATGAGTGTGTCCAAATGCTCCTGCTCAGTCACTCCATAGCACACTCTGCACCTTTACAAAGCATTGCCAGCAGTCTAGTGTTGTCCTCCATTTCGTGAGGAGCCGCATCAGCCTTCTCAGGCTGAGCCTTCACATAAACCTCCAAACGATTCCGCAAATGCTGGCGCTGCCACTTGAGCACTCTTTGAATCAAACCTGAATCATAGTTTTACTGCCTAATGTAACAGCAAAATGAAAAGGCTGCAAATCCCACGAAATCAAAAACATCACACCTTTAGACTTTCTGACCCACAGTAACCTGACCCACAGTAAAATGGGACCACGCCTGGCGGGCATTGCTAGCCGGAGCAAGCCGACTGGTCAAACCAAAGTTCAATGCAGACCTCTTGTGAGCGTTGGTCAAACACATCCCGCACAAATGAATACAACGTGTTTGCTTGCGAAGTTTAAACTTCATTGAAATTGAACCTCTCAATGAAAACCCCATCAAAACGGTCAAAGGCAAGGGCTTGTTGACGACTGTTGCCAGTACCTGTTTCAAATGCATACCACAAGCTGCTCAATCCAAAAAATGATGCATTGCAAGAACAACTCACTTGAGGCCCCAGCAGCAACTGCCAATGCGAAAACAAAGCCTCGAAAAAACCTCCGGGACCAAGCCCTGCCAGGACGCTGTTTCTCTTTTGCCTTCAGTAGCTCTAATCTTTCCCAACATAATACGCAATATACAATATATACATGATACATGTGGCACACTTGACTTGAGCAGTGTTTAGAGGCAAAACATAATTTTTACAAAGTCCGCCTGGAGGCATGCGGGTGAACACACGCCAACGCCATGGTGCTTCGAGCCACACAAAACTGCAAAGCCAAAACACAAAATCGCGTTTTAACTGACAGGTGCACCCGCAACAAAAACACGTAACAATTACAATGCCTGGTTGAGTTTGCCAAGTCCCTATACTTCACCGGCAGTCCTCATGCAATTCCTACAAAAAAGAATTGTTCAATGCCATAGAAACCCCACAAACAGTTTCAGAGTTGCAATTTGTTTCGTCGATCCAACTTAAAACATTTGTGAACACGCCTGGGTTTGATTGAAACTTGAAACAGTTTGGCGTAGGCGAACCCACCCACCCACACCTCAAGCCATGCGCCATCAAATAGTAAAGCATGGAACTTTGCCTCCGGTAGAATTGTTGGAACCACATGACCACATGATCAAATTCATGGAACTGCATTGTTCAAGCCCCGCCAAGGCACCTTTCTCTGAATGACTACGGAACCTGTCTTTTGTGTGCCCCTGGTGATGTGTGCGCCCAAATAACGGCATGCAAACTCTCATACTTGATTGGCAAGTTTAATTCGAATGACTCCCACAACAAAAGACCCACTTTGAAACATTTGGGAACACGCCTGAGTTTGGTTGAAATTCCAAACAGTTTGGCGCAGGCGAACCCACCCACCCACACCGCCAAGCCATGCTGAAACATGGACGTTTACCTCCTGTAGAATCGTTGCGACTTAATGGAGGGATTGTTCAAGCCCCGTCAAAATACCGTTCAAAATTTCTGGTTCCGCCCTTCTCTGAACACATCAGCCGTTAGTGACTACAAAAAACAAGAATGGAACCCACGAACCCGAATGCAAACACGATCGAAAAACTAATATGTCCAAATGACACTCTTATAGGACACTCTTGTGGGACACTCTTCTGGGACACTCTTGTAGGACACTCTTGTAGGACACTCTTGTGGGTCACTCTTGTAGGACACTCTTGTGGGACACTCTTGTGGGACACTTTTGTGTGACACTCTTGTAGGAAACTCTTGTGGGGCACTTGTGGGACACTCTTGTGGGACACTCTTATAGGACACTCTTGTGGGATACTCTTGTGGGACACTCTTATAGGACACTCTTGTGGGACACTCTTGTAGGACACTCTTGTGGGACACTCTTATAGGACACTCTTGTAGAACACTCTTGTGGGTCACTTGCAGGACACTCTTGTGGGACACTCTTACACGACACTCTTGTAGGACACTCTTGTGGGACACTCTTGTAGGACACACTTGTAGAACACTCTTGTCGGAAACTCTTGTGGGACACTCTTGTGGGACACTCTTTTTGGGCACTCTTGTGGGACACTCTTGTGGGACACTCTTGTAGGACACTCTTGTAGGACACTCTTGTAGGACACTCTTGTGGGACACTCTGTGGGACACTCTTGTGGGACACTCTTGTAGGACACTCTTGTGGGACACTCTTGTGGGGCACTCTTTTGGGACACTCTTGTGGGACACTCTTGTAGGACACTCTTGTGGGATACTCCTGTAGGACACTCTTGAGGGACACTCTTGTGAGACACTCTAATGGGACACTCTTGTAGGAAACTCCTGTGGGACACTCTTGTAGGATACTCTTGTGGGACACTCTTGTGGGACACTCTTATAGGACACCCTTGTGGGACACTCTTGTGGGACACTCTTGTAGGACACTCTTGTAGGACACTCTTGTGGGTCACTCTTGCAGGAAACTCTTGTGGGACACTCTTGTGGGACACTCTGGTGGAACACTCTTGTGGGACACTCTTGTAGGACACTCTTGTGGGACACTCTTGTGGGACACTCTGTGGGACACTCTTGTGGGGCACTCTTGTAGGATACTCTTGTGGGACAGTCTTGTAGGACACTCTTGTGGGACACTCTTGTGGGACACTCTTGTGG